CCCCAAAACCCCAAAACCCCAAAACCCCATATTTGTATATCAAGTTATAATTTAACCAATATGGATAAAAAGAGATCGAGAAAAAGTATTAAAAAGATCATTCTGAGGCCTCAAACTGACAAGACGAAACACAAAAACAGACCTGATCCTCATTGAAATTCCTTATTATGGTAAAACAGCTTAATAGAGACTTAGCTTTTTGGTTAGAAAGATTAGGTCATAACAGAATCTGGTTTTATACCATTCTTTTGACCAATAATTCCAACTTAATCTGCTTACTTGGCACTAGAGATTGTTCATAAATAATCTGACAATCGATGAACTACATTTCTTGATTCATTAAGACATCTAAATTATATCTAAATATTTTCCAAAATAAAATTAGCAAAATGTTAGTAATCTTAGAATCTCTTCTCTCTAAAATAGAGAGTAACATATTCCTAGACTCAAAGGAAGAGATGCTACTCCGAATAAGCTAAAGGAGATCAGGACTAATGGTAAGAAGCAACCAAATTTTTGATATTTCCACCTTATTATTTGGATAGAACTCACCACTGCTAACTCACAATTTAGTGTCCACAATGGACTCAGAGATCCATAAGTCTATCCAGACGCTCAAGATGAGGTCTAGCTTCACCTCTGGGTTCTGGAGTACGAAGCATTCCAAATAAGTACCAAGACAAGACTAGAAATGCCCACAGAGCGTATGGGCAATTTTGGATTATCTAACTAAGGATTTTAGAAACAATAATACTAATACCAAGCACAAAACCTTGAATAATTTCCACAAGCTGACTAACCTGACTCATGGCCATTCTAAAAGCTCCAAGAAGAACAGTCTGAAAGAGAAGTGGTACTCTTAGATGTGAACATTTAGCTCAAAATCTCAGAACAAATCTAGAGTAATCGCCAGCAGCTCCTTGAGTATGCCTCACAAAATATTTTATAGATGAATTCAAGACAATAATTTCAGAAGAACTTATCAGTCACGAGAAGAATAAAGTTAAAGACTCTAGTAAGACCAAGATTTTAGACATATAGATAACCCCTTCTTTGACTTGAAGGTAGATTCTCCACTAGATGATGACAGCAAAAGCCAGGTTGGGAGCTCCAGCTTCTCCCCCAGACTCCCTCCCAAGCTGGCTAAATGCAGCAGTGTGTTTGTCAAGAAGAAGCGTTCTAGCCTCAAGCTGTACAAGTTCAAATTTGGAGAGAAATAAAGTTTCCAAACTTAAAAAGAATAAGAAAGTGTTTAAGCCAAATAAACCTTTATTCAGTACTATTAAGTTGAAGAATGGGGTCCAGTACATCTGCCGGTTGCATAACCATCTCACTAACCAGGAGATAGGTAAGATATTTGGCTAAATTCCTAGTCGATCAAGTGAATTACAGTGAAAATTTGAGGGTCAAACCCAATTCTTTTGTAGTAAGGAAGGCTCTCAAGAATCCTAAGATATCATCCAAGGATGTCTATGACAAAGTTGTGTATGACTTCGTTAGGTAATTTCCCCTATGTAAACCATCCATAGGCGTAAAGACCTCAAAACAAAGCAGAAACAGTAATTTTTAGTCTTATTTATTAATTAGAAAACCCAAAAATATATCTAAAGGAGCACGCCAGTCAGAAATTCAATTGCTAAATGCATTGCTCCCTAAGGATAAGAAGAAAAAATACCTCAACTCTACGAATAATTTTGATGTATTTTTAAAATTTAACTCTAGAAAAATAAAGAAAACCCAACAATTTCTCATAAGGAACTGGGCGAGAGCAATTATGAGGATTGGTTCGAGTGCAAAAAGCATGATTTAACCTATACAGCACCGATAGATTATGACTTGCCAGTCAAGAACATGAAAATCAGGCTGTTGCTAAAGCAGCTGGACGGAATAATAGATAGACTGAATATAGAGTACGCAAACTTAGACACAGAGGTAGAATACCTCGAAGAACTCAATAATATCGGTATTCTTCCTCTAATCTCCTAGTACATAGCTATAATTCCAGCATGAGCCAAATCTGTGAGAGAGACAAATAAGGTTGATGTACAAACAACCATTTTTAACGGCCAGGAATTTGTAAAGAAAGGGATCACCAAGAATGTGTCATCAAAGGACAAGCACAGGAATAAGCTGGACCTTACTCTGAAGGTAATCATTGAGAAGAGGTACCTCATCTCTACTCATATTGAGAAAGCAATGGTCTTGTTCGATATTACCAAAAAGAAGAAAGTCTTAGCTGAGTCCGAAGAGGATATCAAAATTTCGCATAATATTTATGACATTACCAAGTCCATCGTCAAGCAGATGGCTGAAGAGTTCCAGTTTGTGGAGAGGGAAATGAATAATATTGTTGACGATATCCTGGAATCAAACATGCCTTTTAAACCTAACCCTCTCCTTGGCTGGCAAGAGGTAGAAAATGAGCACCGTGAGCCTGAAGTGCACGAAATTAGTGCTAAAAAGCTTGCCTCATCACTAATATTCGATTTTACACGCCACCTTACTCAAAAGATTGGGTTAAAGAATAGTAGAAATGGGTCAAATGTTAGCTCTCTTCATAGCTCTCCTGCAAAATTGAGAACTAAACTTCCATCAAGTTTCACAAAATTGATAAACAAGAAAACTCTTAGAAGACTTTCTAAGTTTCAGTCAAATCCAATGAATAAGGTGATTAATGAAGCTGTGATTCACAGGGCGATTGATGAGACAGACTGTGACCTCAAATTCACCTCAAAAGAGAACAGATATCGTAAGGAACGAGAGAAAATCCTGAGTTCTAATACCTTAATCCTACACTATGTTGCTAAATCCCTCTCATTGCTTGGAAGAAAGATCAAGCAATCTATTCAGAACCAGAAGAATAAGGTTAATTTCTTTGATGAAGCAGTTCCGATGCCTATCTCTATGAGACCAAACATCATTATTGAGAATTATGAACTTTCGAATAGAGATAAGACACCTGGAAGTTAGACCAAAATTCAACCTTAACCTTTTCAATATCTATAAAGAATATCGGGGTTTTGGGGTTTTGGGGTTTTGGGGTTTTGGGG